TCATTCATACTTATTAGGTTCTAGTTATTTTCGTTGTATTATTATTATTATTACTTGAAATACCCGTAAAATTTTCACGGTTTTCCTATTTTAATATTTTGATAAATCTTAATTCTTCAGTTAATGTTTGAGCAATCTCATGACGTGTTCTACGACAATAAAATATCCGTAGAAATTCCCCTATCGCATCGTTAAATATTTGAGCTTAAAATCCTTTACAAAATATTGCAATAATGATCATAAATATGAATGATGGTCCTTATCTTAAGAAGTAAGCGGGTACAAATGAAAAGATTTGAAATGGACAACTTTTTCCATTTCACTCAAAAAGACGTTAAATACTTCTAACTTTTCTTCTTTCTTTCTTTCTTTCTTTCATTCATTCATTCATTTTATCACTGAAACCAGTATCGTCTCTCATCTTCGGTGTTTTTGCGCGGTCAAAACGGAATTAGTTCATTATTTATGAGGTATTGGCAGGGCGTAAAGGTTGTGCAAAATAATTAAGGAACTAACTAACGACTAGCGGGAATTTCCACAGACCGACTAATAGAATGTTGAGTAAACAATAAGCTTCTGCTACATATATGTATGCATAAAAATAACGCATTGAAGAAGGCGCAATTAAAATCTTTACATATATAATAGAATAATATACTTAGGCAGCAAATAATAAAATAGTGTATATTTGTACAGGTATATTTACAAATACATAAAGTTTAGCTATTAAATTTATCCTTTTTTAACATACAATACTTATAGGCTGGGAAAATAAACAACACATAAAGATAATTGGGAGTGTCCGCCATGTGTGCAAAGGTTCTCAATGCCAATCAGTCCGTGGTATTCAAAATAGAGCCATACCAGTTTCCTCTTATATGAATACAAAAACAATAGCCCTATATATATATATATATATATATATATATATATATATATATATATATATATATATATACAAAAGCTATATAATACATGACACATATTCAAGATATTCATTTATATATATATGTGTGTATGTGTTGGGGTGTGTATGTGTGTGTTTACATATAAACCAAGGACACATACCTAATGCAATCAAAAACTTCTGAAAACACTCCACTCCTTAAAGTCAGTACCTCTCGGCAGACGATGTTCTTAGTAACATTTCGCACTTTTCTCCTTCCTTGTCGGTCTCCATCAACTTAACCCTTACATCTGAGAGTTTGTGAGCTCTAGAGTATGCCACATACACTTGCCCATGACTGAACACTGGCTGAGGTAAGAACAATCCCACCTGCTCAAATCTATGTCCCTGTGACTTGTTAATAGTCATGTCATATGACAAACAGACTAGAAACTTGGTTCTCTCCAAGGTGAATGGCAATTTAGTCGCTTGGAGTCAGCTTTATTCTGAGGATGAGGACAAGTCTACCAATTAGTGAGCCACTAATGAAAGAAGCCTCTATTAAATGTTGATACATGGCCACTACTTTCAGTCTTGTACCATCGCAGAGTCCATTCTAGACAGAAATGTTACGAAGAAGCATTACTATTGAGCCAGGTTTTGAACTCAATTTTTGAGAGGGCATTCCTGATGGTGTCAAAGAGTTTAGAAATTCAAGTGGGTAGTGCTCAGCCTCAGCAGGATCATTTGTCAAAACTTTATATGTACTGTAATAGGTGCAGCAGTCACCTGGTAGTTGTCTCAAAACTTCTTAATTGATCAGGAGGCAGTCTGAGTTCTTTGTCCATAGAATTACTCTGCTCTTCGCTTCTTCAGATGTATTGTTGAAGATATCATCCACCGGAGATCTGTCAATGCATGAAATTTGATGCACTTCTATGTCATCAACAGCAAGATTAGGATCTTGTGAAGCTGCTGATTTTCTATTGCCAAGATGCAAGAGTCATGCTGCAAATTTCCTTTGATCTGCTGTTGTCCTGATGTTTTGGCTTAATCTGTATTAGATGAAAATCAGCTACGGTGGAGAATTGTTAATACAGATTTCAATGATTGCCTCACGACTTACTCATCGCAATATGGGAAGAACTTGCTTAAAGTCACCCCGCAAGAGCACAGCTTTACAACCAAAAACAGAAGAAATGCCAGTGATATCTTGCAAGGCATTATCACTAGGATGAAGAGCAAATGAAGGTATCATAAAAGCCTCATTCAAGATGATCAAATCTAGGTTTCATAATTTGCAACATGTGAATGGCTGGTACATTACAAACGCTGGCCTCCATGAGTGGGACAGGCAATTTGAACAAAGTATGGATAGTTTTTCCACCTGACAGTAGTGCAAAGGAAATACCTGTCCAAGCACTACTGCACACGTTGCAGTTGTTCCATCGCAGATATGAAATTATGGTATTAAATATATAAATTTTACCACAACCTGCTAGTGCATCTACATAGAAACAGGAGTTTGGGGGCACCTCTTCTTATCTACAGATTCAAGCACAGCATTAGTAATCAGTCTCTGTTCATTAGTAAGTGGTTCAATGCCTGGGAGATCAAGGTCTTCATGAGGGTCAAGCTGTGGCACTCCAATAGGTTCAGGGAGTCAAATTGCTAAATAATGCCATTCTCTAATAGAACTGTATCAATTAAGTGCAGTGCCATGTTTTATGCATGGCCTGCATTAAAATCTTGGGGCAATAAATCTTCAATCATGGATTCCTTAAGAGTGGTCCACAGACGAAGAGCATGTGCATGATTTATATACATGCACAGGGCAGCAAACATAACACACAACTGTAGGAGCATCCGACAGGCAACAGCTTCGAGCAATGGATGTTCCAGTGTGTCAGCGTTTGAGAGAAGACCATATCTCAGGTATTTGCCTTAAATGGTAGCAAGATTTCTCTGTCTATAATGCGCAAATCCTGGAAGCTCACGGCGCCTGAAATGTGCAGCAGCAACATTGGCAAATCAAATTTCTCTGTGTCTCTAAATCTCACTCTATGCATTCTACTGATGATATTCGTATTCTTTTGCCTTGGCGTCCATCTTCCAGTACGCTTATTAAACACATAATTCAGAGGAGTATCAGGGTACAAGTGGTTCCTTGCATCATCATCATCATCATCATCATGCTCATTCAGTTTAAACCATGCAGTGGGGGTAGTGTCACGGTCCCTTTGTGCCTGAGCAGCTTGCCGAGCGTTGCCTCTGTGAAAGTAAACTCTTTGCTGGTCTTCAAGATGTACAGCAAGACTGTAGACATTGTGAGATGAGTCATGTAGCTTGAACTCTAACAGTCTCCACATAAATTCTGGGGGGAGAAACACATTGGTAAGCAAGATAATTAGTAATTTCATCATGAGCTTGATTCTGCTCACGATCTGCCGCTGCGTGCCCTCTTACTTCAACAGTAATGTCCCTTGTACACGTACTTGAAGATATATTTAACGCTTTTCACTGATGGACACATTTCTACATTAATGTGAGCTCTGTACTTTATCAGCAGGTAGGCATTATACAACACAACGATCCCATTGTCAACTGAGTGACGTCCAACTTGAGCTGTGACTCTAGTATTGCGTCTTCTGTACCCTGGATAGCCATTAAAATTCAGAAGCGCCGCATCTCTATAGCTCTTTGGGAATTTTTTTTGGCATGAACCATTTTCCATGCAAGGGGAAGAAGGATTATCTGTTCCGCAAGGATTATGTATCATACATTTCTTTTTTTTTTTTTTGACTAAATCCTGCAAGACTGGATCATCATTGGCATCAGGAATTTCAGCTGTTACGATCTTATCTATGTCACAGCTGCCTTATACGCTGTCTGTAGAGCCTCATTCTCACGTGTGCAGCTTCCAGTTTTTGTTGCCGGTTCATGATGAACGCAGTTTATAAGCACAAAAGTAGGAACCTTCACCTTTTCGCGAAAACCTAAGGTTTAAAATGATTTTTATAAATCGAAAAGCTTTCTTGAGGCGTTCATCTTATATTTAATTGAAAGATAAAGGATTAAATTTACTATTTCCAGTAAACATAATTCTCTGCTGTGTCTCGAATAATGATTTGAATTGATTTTTTAGTCGGTTGTAAAATCGATCTTTTTTTACATATCGACAGAATTGTAAACAAAAGTTAATTCTCGGTTTTAAAAATCTTGAAAAAATATTACTAATATAGTGAACACACGGTATTGAAAACCATTAACAATAACTAAAATGAGAAAGCTAATTTCAAATGCGAATGAAATAAAGTCTAAAATAATTAAATTAAACATTAGATTTAAAATAAAATTCAAGGATTCAAAACAATTCCAAAAAATCCTGATAAAAAAGAAAAAGTAAATTAAAAACTATTTTTTTATGAAATAACAGTTGAATATAAAACTAATTTGAAAGGAAATTGCAAAATGACTTAAAAATTAAAAAATGAGAATTTCAAATAGAAATTAATTGAAAAGACAAGTTAAAGTAAACTTTTTTCTACTTAAATAAAATAAATACATAAAATAAGATACTTAATGAAACAGGAATTCAAAAAAGTAAAATATTAAAGGAATGATTTTCAAAGCCTGTTGAGATACAATGAAACACGGAAATGAAATAAAATGAATTCCAGTCCCAAAAAGTAGAGTAAGTTTTCCTAGTAAGGAAATTCAAAGCTTCAAAACAACTCTGATAAGTTAAAGTAAAAAATTATTTTTTCTAGAATTAGGTTCTCATTAGTAAAGGGAAAACAAACCTTAAAACACATGGCGTTTTTAACGATACTGTCATTTAGATATCATCCTAAAACATTTTCTGAGGCCAATTTAATTTTTCGAAATTTCATGGACTGTTATGTTTCTTTGAAAATCTCCGACATTTTTTGACCTCAAGAGTGTGATGGAGTGGGTGAGGGTGTTTCTTTGAAAATCGCAGACAGTGAAACACCGAATACAGATCAGTACTGAAGCTTGTAACGGACGGACTAAGTAACTTAGGAATGAACAAGCACAATTACAATAAGATTATTTATAATTCTGTTATTTTATTTATTTACATTTATTACAGCTGAGAAGAAATCCACTTACTACCACTGGATGCATGGATATATTAGAGGCCATTAGCACCGAAGGGAATGCAGTTAAGATGTTAGACCTTCAGGTCAGTAAACTTCATCATTTGGAATAATATCATTCTTAGGTTTGACAGTGATTTAAATTTTTCTCGGCCTCTTTGAAAATATTTTCACTCTCCCTGCAATATATTTATACGTTTCAGCGTCAATGCTTATGTGTATATACTTCCTAAATTATTATTATTAACAATAATTAAACTTTTAATAATGAATGTTACAATAATAATAATAGCAAGAGTGCTTATATGACATTCATTATTTTTTATAAACATTATGATGTACCGCATTTGACGGCATATAAGGAGCACTTTTTTATTAAAATATATTTTAAAATTTCCCCGCATCTTATATGCGACAGTTGTGAAATCTTTTTGTGGCATTAGCAATGAACAGAAGGTTATGCATTATTTAACGACGGTGATAGTAATATTGAAAATGAAAATCAGAGTTTTGATTACGAAGACGATGAATTTTATGGATTTAAAGAAGAATGAAATTTTAATGGTAACTGAACTGTTTTGCTCAATTGTAATAATTGCTTCATTTTTATTTTGTTTTCTTATCTTTGAATATAATAAAGTTTTTATAGGCTCGTATTCTTTTTTTCCTGTTATTTTTCGTTTAATTGTAATCATGGCTTGTTTAACCAAAATAATACCTCATAAATATAGCCTAGGCAGTACCATTTACTAATAATTTTACTAATTAGTAATTTTTTCTTGATTTACCTTGCTGAAATTTGGGTGCGTCTTATACACCTATGCGTCTTATATGCCTTCAAATAAGGTAATTAATTTTTTCACCGCTATAAATTATGAGCTTTACCATCCAACATTTAATAAGTAGAAAACTTCGCCTAGAATTAGTTTACCATCTCTTCTATTCATTACCGTGTCGTTTATAATGCATTTCGGAGTTTAATTAAGAATATTTGCAAAGAGGTAAATTGGGTTCGTCGTGAGCGTTATCTTGATAATCGAACACAATGTTACACCATTTTAACCAGCAATGCAAACCTTTCATTTTTGTCTCCATCATCTTCCTTCGAACCTCCCTATGGTTGGTCGGAACTCCACTGACAATCCCTTTCTACAATGTTCGGTCCCGCATTGCTGTCCCCAGTGTCCAACCCTGAGTCCCGAACTATAGTGTCTAGGAAAGTCAATTTCCGTGAGAAGACACTTTCAGGACGATGACATAGGAGTAAGGATGAGACGATTTCCCTGTCCGCTCGTTGTCAGTAGCCGGCAAACTTTTGTCTTGCATTGTTACAACAGATGAAAAATGATCTTTGATTTAATAAATTTTCGTTTTTTAGTAACTTGATAATGTGTAGCTTTTCATGTAGGTATAAAGGACATGGACCATCCAAAGTTCTACAAGTTCTTGTTCTATTTATTATTTTCCATTTCACTGTTGGTGCTTTATTTGTTTCTTTTAAATGTCAAAAATATTTAGATAGGTATATCTGATTTCTGTTTCTAATATTATTGAAGGAGCTTTTGTGTAGTCTCCACCTTGTTTTAAAGTCTTTTTTCGTGGATCCTATATATATCTTTTCAATATTTGAATTCTCAGTGGATGAGATTGTGAATTGCGGCATTGCCCTCTGAATAATAAATGCCGCATAAAATCTGTAGTATATCAATGCACAATCTCATCCACATCTACGCTTAGAAATTCGCCATAACCGTCATCAATTTGAAAATAGTCGATGACAAACTCTTAAGAGTATGCATCTATGTGAATAAATGCGAATGTCAGTGTGTCACACAGTCCGCAGCCCTATATATCATCCCATTTGGAATCAGTCCGAGTCCGTGAGAAAATTAAAAATATACCGGTCCGGATCCGAACCCACAATCCTGAAATTTTGGATTCTTAAGTTTTCATTACTGCGATTGTTTTCAGCGATATTATTTTTAACGTGATTTTTTGTGACGAATGTTTTTGTATGATAACAATTTTTATAACTTGGAAATAAATTTTGGAATAATTGGAATTAATTGCGTGATCCAGTGAAAGTAACTCATAAAATAAAAATAATTGTCTGTACGGAAATTATGTTTCTACATACATCAAATTGTCTGAAAATTAAGTGGCTGCAGAAGAATTCTTGTTGAACTTTTAAAGGCTAAGCTTAAATATTAAAGCAATACTTACATTCAGAGATGAATTTTAAGTACTTCTGTAATTTATTATTGCTTATCGTATACGGCAGCAGTATGCCTCCCAAAAAAGAAAACTCCGTCAACAGAGGACCAGATTGCAATCAAAAGAGCCAAGGCTGCAGCGTGAAAAAGAATACCCTTTGCAAGTGAAAACCCCGATTAAACGGCAGCCAGGAGCGCTTCAATGCAGACTTAGGGACTCTCAAACTCTTGAACAAGCCGATGGTGAAATCAAGTGCTAACTTAAATGCCGCCCAATAGTGTGGCTTCTACGCTAGTTTATAATAAATACTGTCTTCATAATAAATAATGTTTATAATAAATAATGTCTTTAAATTAGATATAATTGATTCTAGTTACTTGAATTATTTCTTGTGAAAGCTTCAAAATGTGTATACATTTTTCTGAGATATCCTGTACATATCTTGTTTGCCGTTGCCATAATGGTTACTTATCGCCATTTTGTAACAATTACTTTCATCGTTTCCAAAATATAAGTAATTTTTTTTTACTATTTCTTATTTACTAAAAATTTTCATTTCTTTTTAGGAAATACCCGTGATTTTTGAATTCGAATTATTGTCAGTGGCTCTCAAAAATCAAAGAAATTTTACCTGTTTACACGGAGGTGTAGTTACCTCACATGATTATCTGGGCAGAAGAAATGGTAAGATTAAATTATGTACCGTGCGCAAATATAAAACTATGAGACTACAGATATGGTTGCTTCAAAGAGGGGTGTTAAATTTATTCAGCTTGCTTGTGCCGGGTGCAAATATAAACATATGAAAGTACAAATATGGTCGCTTCATAGTTGGGTGTAATCTTTAGTTAGATCGCTTGTGCCGGGTGCAAATATTAATATATGAAAGCATAAATATGCTTACTTCATAGTGGGGTGTAATTTTTACTCAGTTTGCTTGGGCCGGGTGCAAATATAAAGATATCGAAGTACAAATATGGTCGCTTTATAGTGGGGTGTAATCTTCACTTGTGCCGTGTGCAAATATAAACATATAAATATGGTCACTTTATAGTGGCGTATAATCTTTAGTCAGCTGACTCGTGCCAGATGCAAATACAAACATATGGAAGTACAAATATGGTCGCTTCATAGTCTGCTTGACCAACATTAGTGAGTAAAGTTTTGTAAATTTTGTATGCAAAGTTTAGTATTTTGACGGCGCCTCAGCTTAGGATAATAATTAACTTGCTAGTCTTGTTGACCATTATTGATAGTATCATTAACCGACTTTCTCGGTGCCGCAGTTGTGTCGTCTTATGCGAAACTAATGCTAGCTTTTTTCGGGGGCGCTCCCGTGTGAGATAATGATTGGTGAGTACCATTACTACTAAGTACTTAGCTCGATTCTGATTGGGTGCCCCATACTTGTGTCCAACTGATCTTAGTATAATAAATAATAAGTCAGCTGTCTATTAAAATGTAGCTATGCGGTTACAAACGTACTTTTGGTGCGTATTTATTACGACTTTTTTTTTATTAGTATGAATGAGAGCGTTCAAATCGGCCTATACGTGCATTATCTCTGATAAATCTGTCGGTGGGGAGACAAGATCGCCTACGTGTAGGGACATAGAATTCTTTTAAATATTTCCATTTTTATGTTAGAAATAGGTTTATTCAACCACAACATGCACTATGGGGCAATCTTTTTTTTTTCCTTCGAGTTTTCAGATCTCAGTAATTGTTTGGTATTTTAAAATACACGAAATAGTTTTAGTAAATTGTCTTTGATTCAATTCTAAAGGGAAAATAGAACTAAGTAATAGCAGTGCTGAATCAGACATTCAGAAATCCCAATAACCAGAAACTTCAGGTCACTTCGATTCAGACAGTGGATCTCCATTTTTAAACGAGGAAACCTTATCAGATGGAAAAGAGAATTATAATTTCAGGGTTCAGCTATAATGCACACTGGACTGTGAAATTCCCCAAAATTGACAAATTCAGATTCTAAACAAAATCCAAAGAAGAATCTGCAATATTATCGATCCTGACCTGGCATGTCGGTTTCACTCTCTTTCCCACCGTAACATAGCTATGCCTTTTTCTTTACAAATATTTAATTTTAGATTTCCTGTTTGATACCACTCCTTTATGCATTTGAACTAATATCAGTTTGACAGCTAGATCTCACCATTTTACTGCTGAAATTGATAAATGTAACCGTAAGTTCTATTCTAATAGCTTCTTCTCTCACATTTCTTGCCTATGGAGCAACTCCTTGCTTTCTTGACAATTACAAACAGACATATTGTTGCGACCTTGTTAGGGCCAGAAATAAAGACACAAAGCGAGGAATTGAGTTAAACAAATATATTAACAGAAACAGTAATACAAACATATACAAACGAGAGTGTTACAGCAAAAATGTTCGGTCGGACTATCAGAGCTGACTGAAACTTCTCTCCCCAAAAGGCAGTACCTGCTCCTATTTATAGCTGGGGAGAGTCCATGCATGCGTGTGTAAATGACCATAATACATATTTAAATATATTAATCGACTTCTGTATGCTTGATTCCTGTTCTTTTATTGTCCTTTCTCCTCAATAATATTTCCTTTACTCTGGTTGTTCATCATCAATAACCACTTGCGTCTTAGTAGCTTTATCGCCTTACTTGTGGTGAATGGTTAAAAATCAATTGCTCCCGTTTCGCGAAATTTATTTAAAAAAATAAAGGACACAAATAAGAGTTATCCTTTTGATTCCTTCAATCTCACTTTTAGATCACATTTGGAAATAAACAATTTTGTAGTGTCCTGGGTAAGACGATAAACTACATCCGCATCCTGGGTAAAACGATAAACTACATCCAACACCAAGGCCCCTGATCAGGAGTTTTTTAGGAGCGTGTAATCACCTCTTAATTTTGCTGGTATTCTAAGGTCCACCCTGATCCGGGTGGTAGCATCTGTTAGGGACCCAGCTATGGGCAAATAGTTAACCTCCAAACTTGGGTCAAAGCACTATGAAAGTGTAAAAATAGATTTTAATACTAGATATATACTTTGTAAAAAATTATTACCAGTAATACATTTTCGAAGAAAAAAAAAACTTTACCAGCAATACATTTTTGAAAAAAAATATTACCAGCAATAAGTTTTAAAAAAATATTACCAGCAATATATTTTTGAAGGAAATTTATTACCAGAAATAGATTTTTGAAGGAAAAAATATTACCAGAAATAGATTTTTGAAAAAACAAAATATTACCAGGAAAAAAATTGTCGGTATTAAATAACCTACTGTGGTTGATAAGCCGTAAACCAAACCAAACCAAACATCTCTTATTCAAGGCGCCAACTTTTAGAATGGTTATGTCTTTCGCACGGCGGAAGGTAAATAAATTTCTTCGATACAAAATAACAAACACTTTCGATACAGATAGATTCAGTGACTCAAAATTAAACGATGCTTATCGTCACAAAAATTTAGGTTTCAAAATGGGATACGGTTATGGAAAAGAGCTTTACGTACTTTATGCAAGGTTATGGATGGATTCACTAAATCTCGTTGAAGTGTTCTCGAGTCTAACGTATTTTATATGTAGCGTAATCGGCACGCATTGTGTATGAATACATTCCAGAGATAAATAGGTCATGTACTCCGCTTGAACACGACAGACGCTAGCTCCAAATGTTTTACAGTGAAACGAGCATTACGCAAACAATTTACGACTTCCCTGTACGTTGCTATTAAGATCAAGTGAAACAAACTAAGAAAAGTACAATATCAGCATGCAAAACTAGGACAGACTAGCAACAAATGACTCACTTTAGCGAGAAAATAATTTCACTGCTCAAATATTTCCAGAACAAAAGACGCTGAAACAGAGAAAGTAAAGGACAAAGAAAGCTGGCCAAATCCAGTTGCGATTGGCTCCAAAGCCGTAAATTATGCGTACGAACTTGCAAAAATTACTCTTACAGACAATGGAATTGAGTAGGGATGAAAGAATGAAATACTTGGAAACGAGAAGTAACTAATACATATGTAAAATATATCAATTAACCAGTTAGGCTACGAAAGCTCAAACAACAGGTGGCGTTCAAATTATCGATGGAGTTATTATGTGCTCGCATCTACAACCACATCGTATATTAGGGTTTCATATGAACGCATATTATTGATAAACATTATTTGATGAAACATTATCATTAATTATATTAATCCGCTTCTGTTGTTTCCTGTCTCAAATCTCAGGTCATTTTTGTGCTTATTTTGAAACCGGTTAAGTAAGCCATATGGATTAGAAATAGATAATCAGCTACCAGCGTGATTTGAACTAGCAACGCTTCTACTTGGGGACATGTCTTCCCGCTGGAAGAATTGATATTTAATATCAATTGTTCTATGACATCTACAGGTGTTATCCAGCTGCTTACATAGTTACTTGGCACCACATTTCACCAACGATCAATGATTGTGTTAAAACAAAATGAATCAAAACCTTCGATTTCCTTTCGTTTATAAGCGGATGATTTCTGCGGCGTGAAACCCACAAACGCTTCGCACATATTTCTGATCAATAACATGACATGATCAAACACAGATGTTTTTGTTTTCAAAATTGAGAAAAAAGCAGTCAGAAACACACAAACACACAAACACACACACACACACACACATATATATATATATATATATATATATATATATATATAAAATAAAAACGTTAATGGTCAGAATTGAATTAAACCAGGAAACAGTAGTATTAAAAAGTGCTCAATACACAATTAAAAAGATCCAAATTTAACATGTATAGCTATTAACCGAAATTGCCTGACGATACCGAAAGGTTGAATTAGCTGATTTCCTAATTATATATATATATATATATATATATATATATATATATATATATATATGTTATAATAATATTTTTTGTTTAAAAATATGATTCCTTCGCTACATAAGAATTCTCATGTTTCAAAAACGAGAGCCGAAATATCCAAATAATTATTAAAATTAAGTTGGATTGTGGTGTTTAGTCCCGTTTCATCTTCAAGCGAAATTTTAAGAATAAGCTATTTGTCGGTTTACGTGTATTTTTAGGCCCGGTCATTTTGGAATTCGTTGTTGTGGGAGTGGCTAGACTATTTTCCTTCGTTAAGTGGTCGGAGAGTTAATTCTTATCAATAGATTCATCATCTTCTAAGAGGTTTTGGTAAGGTTGAGTAGGATATCTATTTCAAGGCTAATGTTTGCGGTCACCCTTTAGTTAGTTCCCAGTGAGGCATATTTTTATGGCGCGCCTACAATCGTTATGTGTCTGGGGAATTGTCTTTTATTATTGTCCATCTGATTATCTATTTATTTATTTGTTTATTCAAGTGGGTGTTTTATATACAGATCGCATTGCACTGAATTTCAATTTGTTTTTTTTGTTTTTTGACGACTACAAAAAGGGTTTTTCTTATTTAATGATTTGGCTTTGCTTTTAAGAATTTTACTTAGCTATGGGATTTTTTTAGAAAAAGGATGAGCATCTTACAAATCAGAGATACCAAATTCAAACATTTAAATATCTGAGATGTCTTCTCACCGAGGACGGAAAGTACGGCACTGAAATCCGAAGACACATTGAGATAGGCTAAGATAGCCAAATGCCAAGCAGAGTATTAAGAAACAGAAAAACTTCTTTAGAAACAAAGTAAAGAATAATAACGAAAAGACATTTATCAAGAGCTACAAAGGACAGGAAATTTTGAAGAGCCATGATCGCCTACATCCTAAGGGGCACGGCACATAGAAGAAATACCAAAACTCTTAGCCATGACCTTTCATACTGTCGAGAACATGACCACCGCCATTAAATTGACTATTGTTTGGTCTCTGTATTATAGCGATGTAACAATGTTTCTTCAACAGTGACAAGTCGTTTCAAATTTTGTCTCTAGACCGCTGAAAAATGCTGAAAAAGGAACCATTCGATATCAATTTAATCATTATCTATCTATCTATCTATCTATCTATCTATCTCACTCTCTCTCACTCTCTCTCTCTCTCTCTCTCTCTCTCTCTCTCTCTCTATATATATATATATATATATATATATATATATATATATGAGGGGGTGTAGATATGGGAATTTAACTATATATATGTTATGGTCCGGTTCCTTGTACCACTGTGATAGACCAAGGTAGAACCAATAAAGAAGAACTCGAACTCGTATATGGAACAACACAGATATATTACAAACAGGAATATATACAGAGAAGTAGAAAGTGTTGGTACGAACAATCAGGTTTAGTAGTAATTGTCTGAATCCGACTCTGTTTCGGACTGCCTCTGACTCGCTATGACTGACTGAGAGACTTCTGACGGACCTCACTCCAGACTTCAGACTGAACAGTATTTAGTCACCCCCCCCCCAAGAGGGCATCATGTGGCACAAGGCCGGTTTAATGTGAGATCTTCGAACCCGTGGGCTCGGCCAAAAATATGTCCTTTGAACCCGTATAAACGTGTTCAGGGTCGGTTTACCTCCCCGAAAGAGACTCCGCCCATCGGCGTAGCCTCGTTCGGGTTCCTCCCCGCCTGAAGGCAGAGAGTTCAATCAACCAGCCGGTCGTCCGACTTCAGACTGAACTCTCTGCTTCCTCTTGAGGCGCAGTATTTATTACGTATGGAATAGTCCATTATGTTATTATTGGTAAGGTCCCATAACAATATATATATATATATATATATATATATATATATATATATATCGCGTGGAAAAACAGAAAAAGACATATCAGAGAAGGTACTTGGTTTCAAAGAAAGTAAGAAGGGGAGATTAGCATATCCTGGCTATACCTCATTAATAATGAACTAGTCCGCTTTGATTGTGTGGAAAGACGAAAAAGACATATCAGAAACGAACTTGGATTTCAGAGAGAAAAAGGAAGAAAAAAAAATGTTTAACGTCTATTTGAGTAGAATGGAAAAATCTTGCACATTTCAAATCTTTTCATTTTTACCTTCTTACTTCTTAAAATAACAACCAGCACTTACATACATGATTGTTATTGCAATATTTTGTTAAAGTTGTCAAGCTCAATTATTTAACGATGTGATAGTAAAATTTCTACTAATATTTTATTGTCAAAGAATCATCATGAGGTTATTCAATCATTAACTTAAGAATCAAGATTCATCTAAATATTAAAATAAGAAAAACCGTTAAATTTTTACGGGTATTTCTAGTAAACAGCTATTGGTTGATATATTACTAATATATGTGTATTTTCTATCCTCAGTTTTTCCCTTTCTTTGAATCAATTGCATAACTATTTTATTTCCTCGATCGACCTGCGATGAGAACGAAACAAGAATTGGTCAGCTTTTTCTAATATTATTTTCTCTATTCTTTTTATTAATATATGCTATAAATGTCCAATTTAGCTCCATGCATGGATTTTACTTTAAAATTAAAAAAAATCGTATTTTAAGTAAATTAACTTCTAGTTCTTTAAACTTTCAAATCCAAATAATCCCACCGCTGTAAGGTTGGCTCCCTGTGTCTTTTCTATAAATACTTTCACTAATTATTTAGATGAGCTGTTCGCTATGGAACCTAGACGTTTTGAATTTTAGAATGGCGTCGAGATTTCATCAATTTACAGTTGAGTTGGTTAGATTTAACCATAAATTCTAAGCTTCTTTTGTCGCACTTCTCGCTTGTGGAATTTTCTTCCCACTCTGATTTCCAGCCAACTTTAATCTTTTAAAAATTTAAGTGTAACGTCAATCGCAGTCTACTCTCCTCTTGATTACTCTTTTTCTTCCCGCTCATCAGTAATGTTTCTGTTTCTAATTCTTCGACAACCAGGAACCACTTATATCTTAGTGGCTTTACTGTAAGAAACAGATTTAGTTGCCATGGCTCGCTTATTCGAGAGGCACGTTTATTTTACATTCCTTGGGGAAAAGAGTTGCCTGTTCGAAAGAGGTCGCTGAATCAATCATTTACATGTTCTCTTTCGAACTTCAATTTTTTTTTTTTTTGGCGAGTTTAATTTTCCCTGTGAAATTTCCCCCTCTTTAATATTTATATATATATATATATATATATATATATATATATATATATATATATAACACTTACTGTTTTTATAATTTTAATTAGGTCTTGTATCCCCGATAACATTTTTCAATAACATTAACAAAAATACCTAGATTTTGCAAATCGAATAGTGATTACTTACCAACATATATGTTGATTTAGTTTCATGTTATATGGCCGGATCTATATGAGTTATTTTTTCTACTACTTTTTTTACGAGGTAATTATAGTTAAGTAAACATGTTAATAAAAGTTCTTTGGATTGATTCTATAATTTTTTTCAAACTCTTAGCTTACCTGATCAACCCTATGGACAATGTCATTGCTTTCATGAAGAAAAATGGCCTTCGACCTCTTGAGCTACTGCGTTCATTTGATAAAGAAAACATTTGGACACTTACCAAAGGAGCGTTTGCCGCGCACCTCAAAGTAAGTGATAAGATATTTTCAGTGGGTTTTTTTTTCTGTCGACCTATATACATTTCAATCTGTATGTTCTCGTGGTTATCTATGTAGATATATATCTGTGTTCGTCTCAGTTTAAACTTTAGCAATATGCTTCAACGAACATTCGTTAAAATTAACATGACCTATATTATAAAGGCTGACTATATGATTGATTTTTTTTTTACTAAGTCTGTATGTAAATTTTATTCCTACTTATTTATTTCTTTAGTATTATTTTTTTTATTTCATATTTATAAATGCGTATGAGGAATTCAAGACTTGACACTTTAAAAAAAATTGTTATTGCAAAATTTATGGATCAGCGATTTCGACGTGCATGAAAGTAGGATTTAGTATTTTTAGTGTAGGGAAATCTAAGAAATTTATTTGTTTTCATTTTTCAATAGAAGTGCAAAATCCCCTTACATGAATTTGAAGTGGTTCAAATGTCACATGAAATTCAAAAGAAAAACACAGACGAGACAGGTATAACTTACAGGTACGTATATGTGCTCGCCTCTGTGTGTGTGTGTGTGTGTGTGTGTGTGTGTGTGTGTGTGTGATCTATTCTAATATTTACAAATATGTTTAAGGATACATTACGAGAGTCGGCCGAAAAGTTCATAGGCTGGCTATGAATGAGTGAAATCTAATTATGAAGCTGTGAAATCTTGCATTAATGTTGTGACCAAATAAATGGTTAAGTAATAACAAAAACCAAGTTTGCAGATGTATCGTATATTAAACAGTAAGTACACCAGAAGAGTAATACACGACTAGTGAGAGTGTATCGAATGAACTAGCGCTCAATCTATTCACTGTCCTCCGAAACCTTCTCTCCAACTAATCTTATAGTAGGCGGTAGAGTCTATCATAGACTCCTAAGAGGGAGAACATCACAACAACTAATTTAAACTCTTCTTATTGTGTGTCTTTCCCAGTGAACTTACATCTGACTGTTCAAAGAAGATTGTCCATTCTGTTGATGAATACAGTCATCAAATGCAAATATGATGTCTTCGTCACTGTGATACTATTTCGCAGCCAAGTGTTTTACTATGTTGGGGGAACAGATTATATAGTCAAATCAGAAGAATAGGTAGAGTGATCAACCAGTTTAAAGCTACAGGCACACACAGCAGCCATTGAAACCAAAGACTTGTGTTCTAGAGCACGGTCCTGGTGAAAGAAGACCTATTTTTTTTCTAAACATTTGGTATTGATAGCCATTCGTAACTGAATCAGCAAATTGACATAGTATTCTCTATTTGCGGCCTGGCCCTTTTGAATATAGTCAATAAACACAACGCCTTTTGCATCTCAAAAGAGTGATACCGCCACCTTCCCTGCAGATGAAACGAGCAGGTGAGAAGGTGGTGTTTCCACTGCATGAAATGTCTCTGTGTCCCTGCCTCAATTTGATGAACCTAATACTGGGTTAGGGGTTATGTTTAGAGTTAGCAAACATTCAAGGAAATGAGCTGGATCTGCCTAAAACATTGTCAGATTTCCCCATGATCATATCAGCCTGGTGGGTCAGGTGTAGGATGTGGCAAACACCGAGCAGGAATTTTCATCATGCCAGGTTCATTGTACAGAATATACTTTGACATCCATCATCTTGTGGTGAACAGGATCAATGCTTTTATCGGCGGTAGCAGTCGCAGGATGTCCAGACCTTGGGCCATTTTCAAAACTCTCCTCTTCCTAAATTCAACTGCCCAGTTTCGCGCTGTTGATAAAGCTGGATCCGCATCACTTAATGCAGTAACCATAACAGTATGAATATCCTTAGGAACTAAACCCTTTTTCTACAGGTACTTGATAACACCATAACGACAAATTCTATCAAATTTTTCAAAAGAATTCACTACCAATTACATTTAAAGTCTTCTTTGAACAGTCAAATGTCGGCTTACCTGGGAAGCAACAATACAGTTATTAATAAGAGCTGAAATATACAATATTTTACAGATCTAGCATCACCCCTTCATAGTCAGCCGATGAACGTTACAGACTATTATCGTATTAGACAAATTTCTTTCTTTTTTCAAATTGACGTTGCCTCAATACAAGATTCAAGAACCACTCATATTATCCCTGAATGAGGTTTGTGATATAAACCTAAAAGCTGGTGGAAGTAAGAGAATATTATGAGGATAAGGAGGATAGATAGAGATTGAAACTTGACTCGAAGAAAATACTGAAGCATCCACGCGGGAGTTTGTTCCAGAAAGTATTAGTTCTCGGGAAAATGCTCTCTGAGTGGAACTTCCTACTTACAACTGAAATACGGGTACAAGTGTAGTGTTTCGTTTCCGTTGGCGTAGCCTGACGTGTCCTTGCTATAAAAGTCAGAATTGGTGGTGCTGAAGAGGGAAATGCATTTGAATTGTTTCACCTATCATCAAGGTGCAACCGTTTTCTGAGATCAGCGATTAAAAATGGCTGCAAGTAAATGAATCCTTTATGGCTCAAAGAAGAATATACTGGATCCATCCAATTGTCACTAGAATCAACCAACTGTCACTGGATCCTTCCACTGCTTTTATCCACAGAGCCATGTGCCCTCCTTGAGGACAGACGGATGGCCCACCAGTGGATAAAAGCGTTGGTTGGATCCAGTGATTTGACCCAAAGAGTTGTGAGTTCAATACCTGGCTACGGCAGTAGTGAGCAAAAACTTAGAGAGTCGAGTTAAAGAGAGATAACTGAGACATCCGAAAGAGGCATGCCAGGTGGAACTAGAACAATCTACCCGGTGGACGAAATAAAGGGTTCAGTTCGAAATTCCAGTCTATTGAAGAAAGCTGGAGCCTACAACGGCCGAAAAGTTGGGAACATGACAATAAAGATGAGGACAAAAGTCCGAACAATGTAAATAATGTCAATAATTACAATACCTCTTCTCCGAAATATAGACAGATATTGATAACAAACTGTTCATTCCAACATCCATTCTAACATATATATATGGCTGTTTCTTGTAATGTTGGAGAGTGAAGTCCTCTGGAGTTTCAACTTCTGTAGGGCTACCTTTGGTGGTATAATCGAAGAGGAGAGACCAAACTAAATGCAATCACCCCCCCCAAAAAAATACAACGGCGAAATAAGCAAGGATCGACACGATCTCAGCTGGCGTAAACCTTGACAGACCGAGTGTTCACAAAAAAAAAGCCGAAAGAAAGAAAGGGAAAATTGGAAGATGCCAGATAGATAGATAGATGGCGATAATCACGAAAGTTTGGACATACATATTGACAGCTGAATATGAAAAGAAATAGTTGACAACATAAGCATGGATAAGAACAATGGTAATAGATAATAAATAGATAAAGAAAGATAGAAACTGAAAAGAAAGATGATAGAAGATAGAAGATAGATAGAAATGGAAAATATGTGCTCTGTAATCGAAGAAAATTGATCTTCTGATTAGAAAGAAAGGTTGCATGTCAACGCCAATTTGATTATTGCTTTCAGCTCGGTGGATTTTCATCTTTTCAATATTGTCAGTGGTTTGGTACCTAACCTTATCTGATTAAATGCAACAGATAGATAGATAGATAGATAGATAGATAGATAGATAGATAGATAGATAGATATTTACACTATTTACATCGTTATTTCAATAATGACGTTTGGACATTTACATATAGACAAGCCATACCTTTCTGAATATCTCAGTTTCAGTTAAAGAAACTCAACTCTTTTTTGTTAGTATTGAACTCACAATTCAACTTTTGAATTACTCAACCAACGCCTTTTATCCATATGAAAAGGGACATCAGGATAATTTGGGGGAACAGTTATCATTTTTTGAATTTCTGTTATTGTTGTATTTCTCTATCTCTCTGATACCGTGATGACACATGGAATTAGAGCAATCCATCCCCATGAACTAAATAAAATTTGCATTGAAATTTCAAGAGGGTTTAGATCAAAACGTCGTGAATATTGCAATAAAGATGAGGACAACAGTTAGAAGGATTTAAATGATGTAAATAATGAATCACGATACCTCATCTCAGAAAATAGACATAGATAGATAGATAGATAGATAGATAGATAGATAGATAGATAGATAGATATGAAAACAATGACATAGATAGATAGATAGATGGATAGATAATAATAGATAGATGCAATGACATAGATAGATCGATAGATAATAGATAGATAGATTAAGTGACTGTAACATACTAACGAAACTAAAGAAAAATGGCGTTATTATCTTTTTCTCATTCATTTCTTTTTGTTTTTTTTTTTCCTTCTTTGGGTTAATTCAGGTGTCAGAGAGGATCTTGACTCGGAGGGAAGAAAAATCGGCCGAGATTACACGGCAAAGAAATTTGAACTCTATCATGAACGAATACTGCACCCAGAAACTCAAAAGATGATCAGGAAAAGTTCTTCGGAAAAATCCTGGCAGCTTTTGCCGCTTCTTGCTACAAACGGAAACTCTCAACTGGTTCACGGATCTTGGATTTCAAATGGACGACAAAGAAGAAAACACGAAGAAAAGAAATAAAAAGAAACGATAGATAGATAAATGCAATAGATAGATAGATAGATAGATAGATAGATAGATAGATAGATAGATAGATACAGAATATACAGATACATACAGAATATATATATATATATATATATATATATATATATACAGAATAGATACTGACATACATGCATACAGGATAGATAGATAGATAGATAGATAGATAGATAGATAGATGAATGAATATTTACACTATTTACATCGTTATTTCAATATTCATGACGTTATGGCAATTGTATGCTACCTTACCCCAGGTGATATTTATTTAGTCCACGGCAGTAGATTGTTCCAATTCCACGTGCCATACCTTTCTGAATATCTCAGTTTCAGTTAATTCCCTTTAGAAACTCAACTTCTTTTGTTCCCTATTGAACTCACAATTCTTTGAGTCACATCACTTTTTGAATTACTCAACCAACGCCTTTTATCCACTGGGCCATGTGTCCTTAGGGACATCAGTGAATGAATTTGGGGGACTTATAAAACTAATGTCTCAGTTATCATTTTTACGAATTTCTGTTATTGTTGTATTTCTCTATCTCTCTGTATTACCGTGTCATATCCACAAAAAGGCATGACACATGGAATTAGAGCAATCCATCCCCCATGAACTAAATAAAGGATTTGCATTGAAATTTCAAAGAGGGTTTGAGTGTACCACGGTCAAAACGTCGTGAATATTGCAATAAAGATGAGGACAACAGTTAGAAGGATTTAAATGATGTAAATAATGTAAGTAGTTACGATACCTCATCTCAGAAATATAGACATAGATAGATAGATAGATAGATAGATAGATAGATAGATAGATAGATAGATAGATAGATATGAAAGCAATGACATAGATAGATAGATAGATAGATAGATAGATAGATAGATAGATAGATATGAAAGCAATGACATAGATAGATAGATAGATAGATAGATAGATAGATAGATAGGTAAGTGACAGTAACATACTAACGAAACTAAAGAAAAAATTATGAAATCACGTTATTATCTTTTTTCTCATTCATTCTTTTTTGTTTTTTATTTTCCTTCTTTGGTAGGAAGTTAATTCACTCGGTGTCAGAGAGGATCTTGACTCGGAGGAAAGAAAAATCGGCCGAGATTACACGGCAAAGAAATCTGGAACTCTATCATGAACGAATACTGCACCCAGAAACTCCAAAAGATGATCCAGGAAAAGTTCTCACGGAAAAATCCTGGCAGCGTAAGTTGCCGCTTCTTGCTGCAAACGGAAACTCTCAACTGGTTCACGGATCTTCAAAGAGATTATCAAATCAAACAAAAACGAAGACGACAAAGAAGAAAAGCACGAAGAAAAGAAATAAAAAGAAACGATAGATAGATAGATAGATAGATAGATAGATAGATAGATAGATAGATAGATACAGAATATACAGATACATACAGAATATATATATATATATATATATATATATATATACAGAATAGATACTGACATACATGCATACAGGATAGATAGATAGATAGATAGATAGATAGATAGATAGATAGATAGATAGATAGATAGATAGATAAAAAAAGAAGACAGATGGACATGAATATATATAGAGAGAGACAGCGGTAGATAGAAAGAAAGAGAAACAGTGAAGAGATAGATAGATAGATAGATAGATAGATAGATAGATAGATGATGAATATTTACACTATTTACATCGTTTGGGCTACTGTCCTCAACTTTATTGCAATATTCACGACGTTACTGCCATTACTTCTAATTAGCAATTTTTTAATCGTCTTATCTCCTTATTCCAACTGACAATTCTATATTGTCGTTTTGTCTACTGTCTTTTAATTAACAATTCTTTTTAGACGTTTTGTCTATTTTCTTCTAAGGTTAAGTTATTCCCTGTCTTTCTCTGCCTTCAATATGTCTTGCGAATATTTAATTTTCCAAACAATCTTTCCTCATGATATTCTTCAGCAATTTTCACCTGCCCCCCCCTTTTTATTGTAATTACAAATGTTCTTTTTGTTCTAATTTCCTTTCTTGTTTCTCAAACTTTCTATTCATGGCATTCTCAGCATCCCTCTGTAGAGCCACCTCTCTGTATCCTCAAGTCTCCTCTTCCATTGTGAGGAAATTCTCAACTATTCACTGCTTTATAGGAAGATGCATATTATATAGCACTTGAGCATTATTTTCTTTGTTTCTAACGATATCTTTCCGTATCTAAATACACTTTTCATTGTTACTGACGCACTAAAAATGTAATTGATAGAAAAAGTGTTTGATTTTCTTAATATTCGATTTAAGTGCTGTATTATTTAATTAAAATATCTCAAGAAAAGTGTGTATACGCTTTAAGATGACGATGCAAATTTGTATCACGATTTTGAACAACAAAAATAAAGACTGAGAGAATATTTAAGAAAACTCTTTATCGAATTTTCCATGTTAGAACTTCCTGGGAATATTAATAATATATGTAGGGTGTTCGAAATAAGAATATTCTCGGTGAAAATATTTTAAATGTATTAATTGATGATAATGGACGTCTCCATGGAGCTTGAAAGTATACAATTAATTAGGGTAGACTCTTAGAGCATAAGTAATTCAGTTTAACCAAAAGAATATGTCCTAACCATTTCCATCAGTCCTAGCGTTAATATCTTTTTAGCAAAATCATCATTGCTGTTTCGTTATCAATTATTACTTATAGAAGTCCCTGTATCGATAAATTGTTATCTGCAAAAATCAAATAAGTTAGAATTTAGCAATGATGAATGGTATTTTATTATATGTCAACGACTCAGTTATGTGCTATGCGTGATACGCGCTTGGGCAATCACGTATCTTTCTATACATGACTGACGAGGCAGATTTTTCCCGCAGTAGGTTACCACTTCTTTCTGCAGTAGACCAGTTGCCATCCAAGCCTATAGAACTCGGTCTTTTCTATTTATCCATAGCTGGGGGGGAGAAGAGGAGGATTCATACCTTTCCCAAGGGTATTAGCACGTAAGTGAATGTAATGGATTCGACTGGAATTCGAACTCGGCTCTCCGATTTCTCAATCCGAGTCGCTATCCATTACTCCACTATATTTTCTTTTTCTTTTACTGTTCCAATTACAAAGTAGTCTATCTATTGAACATGTCAGAATACATAGTGAATTGTTATTTTATCCACTCCAAAGATAAGCTCGCAGCTTTAAAGTCAATAAATCTTTAAAGAAAACAATAAGTCTCATTAATCAGGTATGACTATATTTGACCACAGCAATTTTTTATCGACTATAGATAAAGAAAACAACACTGTTTCCTTTCTTTGTCTGTAACAGTTTGTTAATCAGTTATGTACCATACCTTATACACGCTTAAGCGATCATGTATAGTTCGATACATGACTGACGAGGCAGATTTTTTTCCCGCTGTAGCTTGTCATTTCTTTCTGAGGTAGACTAGTTGCCATCCAAGGCTAAAGAACCCGGTCTGTCTTGCTATTTACCTATAGCTGGGGAGAGAAGAAGAGCATTTGTATCTTTCTCAAGGGTACGAGCACGTAAGTGAATGTAATGGACTCGATTGGAATTCGAACTCAGCTCTCCGATTCCTCACACACCTTCTTTAAAGGCCTGTGAAAAGATTCTTCTTCTTCTTCTTCTTCTTCTTCTTCTTCTTCTTCTTCTTCTATAGTCGACATCCCTTCAGGACGTGAGCGATCATAGCTCTCCACAACTTTCTATATTTCATAGCTCTTTTTACTATCCCTTTCCCTATGGATTGCCATCAATTTACACAAACTCATTAGCTTAGGTTAATTTCTTCTGTCCCGCTTACCATCAGTATGTACTGTGAGCGTCAATTTTTCTAGTCCTTCTTTTCTCATTACATGTCCTAGAAACTGTCGACTGTCTCTTTTTGATTTTATGAATAATTTTCATTATTGTTTTCCTTTTTCCTTAAAACTTCCTCATTATTTGCATGCTATGTCTATGGTATTCTGAACATTCTCTTGTAGAACCAGATTTCTCTTGCTTCAAGTCTTCACTTCATGCGTGAGGAAATTGTCCAGCATTCCATGCCATTAAAGAGTATTAATATTACATAGCAGTTCAGCGCTTTTTTTTTGTTTGTTTTTAACTTAATTTTCCTGATTCTTAATACGCTTTTTTTATTTTAGAAGGCATTTTTCATATGCCAATGTGCCTTCGGATTTTGGTGCAACATTATTTAATTTTGACATTTTTTTAACAAATTCTGATTAAATAGATAATGAGTACCAAACTGACAATGAGTATAGTGTTTGCATTTAATCTAAAAACTTGAGCGATTTTTGTGAAGACGAACTGACTAACTGTTTTGCTGGATCAGTGTTCATGTCGCCTACAATGTCTTAGCAAAAAAGTATCAGAATTGATGCTATAAAAAGAAAACTACAACACATAGTTCAGCAGTTAATTTACTTCGAAGTAGTCCCCTTCTAAAGCCACACACTTTATCTACTGTCGTTTCCATTGATGAAAGAATTCCTGAAACTCCTTTTTTTTCTGATAGTGAGCAGCTGACTCGTCGCATTCTCTTAAATGCTTTCTTAAAATCTCGTTCCTTTCACGTGGGATTTGATTTTTGAAAAGAAATAAGTAGCAAGGGACGAAATCTGGAAACATATTAGTTGTCGGTCTGCGTGAATGTTCTGCATAGCCAAAAACTGCTGCACAAGCCATGGTCACTGATGGAACCTCTGCGGTGTTGTGAGACGACCACACTCTACACACTTTCCTTCCAAGGACTGATATAAACAACGTGAGCAAGAACGTTATAACTTAGTGTGCATGTATGACAGAGTTCAAGATTCAAGTGCTTCACTCTGCCTACTTTAGCTCTGTTACCATATCAGCAGTCTCGATATTTTTTGATCAGATCTTGTATATTTGAACAGTGACGGGTCAGTCCCAAGAATCTGTTTCATCTTTTATTGTATTGCCGGACCATCGTGCATACATATGTACAGAAGTAATTGATATTTACTAAACTTTATACGACATAATGCTATGAGTGTGAGTAAGTAGTAAAGCTCAAAGTCATTAGTGGTCATCAGTAAACCGAGATCGTTATTGCTTCAAAACAAGGTGCTCAATAAGTACTTAGCTTAGCGCTGTCTTTCAAAATCTGCCGTCATCATCCTTGTTACTGTAGACCGTTTTTAGACGAAGTCATCCAGTCCTCCCTCACGTCTCTGTTGTAGCTGATTAGACCCACACGAGAACTGAGCACATTTCCGTAAATAGTACACCTGAAAAGAATTTGGGTGTTAGTAGAGGAAGGATTCTGTTCGTGACCTTCTCGGTGGCTTTTTCTTTCCTGATTCTATGGTTTGACCAGCATCCGTGTTTGCACGGATGCTGTTCAAACCACGAAATCGCTGTTCAAACTACGAAATGGCTCGATCACAAGGCAAATTTTCTAATTACGCAGGGAAGATATTAAAGGTCTTCCGAATTATAATGGTGGGATTCCCCTATCACCTGTATTGACCAACAAATATCTCGACTGATTACAATTCACCGTAGAAAACACAAGTTATGATGTTCTAAATCACGAAGAATTTAAAAAGTAGCGAGATAAACTGACTAATCACTACTCAACCTGTCTCTTCAGGATGTGGGTGTTCAATGCTCTCCACAGTTTCCTATCTTTTGTTGCTTTAAATAATGTATTACATTTTCCCATTCCGCTTTTCACACAAATTCGTTGCTGTTTCACCCCGCATCTCCGGCATTCATTAAGCCCTGTGAGTGTCAGATTCTCTAGGTCATCTTTCTTCATTATGTGTCATAAAAATTTCAACTGATTCTTTCTTAAAGTAAGTTTCCTTATTATTCCGTTTTCCTTAAAACTTCCTTGTTGCTCACATGCTTTTTCCATGGTATTCTCAGTACTGAAACACATCTTTATGATTTCAATTTTTTTCTTCAACTGTGAAAATATTATAGAAGATTACCACATAGCAGTTCAACACACGTTTTTGTTTCTAACTATATTTTCTATTTTGTTCTTGTTTTTTTTACATGACTTAAAAATAACAAAAAACACCATACCTTTGCACCAGGTGCATATATGCAAATGTATCTGCATTGGGAGTGACAGTATGTTTAGGAAGTTAAACAACGTCGAGCCTGGTCAACACCTAGATGGATGATCACTTGGAAATAGCTGGTGCTGTAATCTTGGATGTGCGGGTGGTGTAATGGATAATGGCTCAGAATTGAAAATCGGAGAGCCGAGTTCTAATTCTAATCGGGTTTGTTGTATTCACTTACGCGTAAATAACTTTAAGAAAGGTATGAATTCTCCTCACAGCTATGGGTTAATTATTAATAATTGTAGCAGTAAAATCATTATTATTTCCAAATAATTCTTCCAATCAAAAAATATTTTCTAGCCTTAAATAACCTGCAAAACGGTTGATAAGCTGTAAAACACAAATCGATCAATCAATCAATCAATGAAAACTGCGTGCTTAGGCTTGATAATCTGAGATAGAAAAAGGGGCAAAAGTTCGAAAATCGATCACACTTTCTTGCACGGTCTTGAATAGTCGCCTCCTCACTTTCAAACGAACAGCTCGCGTTTCAGTTTTCCTGGCCGCCAACCGCATACTGCGAGTCGACACCCGTGACACGCATCAAGTGGGGAATCGACTTTCGATAACAAAGAAAAACAAAATAGAA